GGTTCCAGGAGTTTATTAAAGTTTAATTTAAAAATGTGATCAAATCGCTCGGCCGCAAGACACATCGAGAAAGTAATAGCTTACCTCGTTTCATTTTCTTGTTTAAAATATTGGATAAATTAAGTTACACAACGCTTTTTACGTGATATGATCCGAGACGCACCAAGCTCATTGCGTGCGAGTGCGACATCGACTGCCCACGCACGGCGGCGGCGCGCGGCGCGGTAGGCGCGAGCGCAAGACAACAGAAAACGCCTTCATTTTCTTTGCATATGCAATACGGACATCCGCCGAAGCGGAATAGTTGCATTCAAGGGCTGGGGTCTACGCGGTTAGGCTAACAATAAGACGCGTCGTCTTGCCTATACAATTGAAGATCTTCATCATGAATCCAGAAAATAAGATCGATCGATGTTCCTTCAAAAAAGTTAAAAGTTATGGAAAATCAAAGGCGAAAGTAGTGTTGTAACGGCGTTGACGAGTTTAAAGGTCTTTTTAAAAGTAATATACTCGAACAACTAAGAGGCTGAAAATTCGGGGAAGATACCTTTTAGTAGCCTTTTTTTTATTTTTCATCTGCTGTTTCGTTTAACAAAAGCGATCAACTTATTAGGTATCGGTTTAATTCCTCTTCTGTAAACTGAATCCGCAACTTACCGAAATAAGAAGTTTATAGTTTGCAAGCATCTTCTTCCGCTCCTCCGCTTGTACTCTTTTATTTTCCTCTTCCCGCTGTATCCTCCTCCTCCTCTCCTCGCCATCTGCGATAGGTTTTTCTAACTGTTGCCATTCGCTTTGGTCTAGGATCAGTGCCCGTCTCTTCCTCGCGCTTTTACTTGTGCCGTTTTTGTCGGCGAAAATTATGTTCCGCATAGCTCGTTCTTATCGTACAATGGTTCGGAACGTGTTATCAAAAACTGCTCAGAAAACGAAAAGAGGTCTGTTCTCAAGCGGCTTCCGTAACTTCCTCGACTGCAGTAGGTAAACAATGTCGTTGCTATGCTATCCAAGTACCTATCTATCGATGTTACACCCAAGTGGCACGTGCATACTAAAAATATTGCAATTCCACTGAGTGTTATGTATGTTGCGTGGCTCCTATTTGAAGGGGCCTCATTTATTGAAACATGTTGCGTTGCAATTTTTCAGTCCATTGCATACTGCCTATCTTTCTGACAAATGGAGCTTATTTTGTTGATTGTTTAAAATCGGCATGAATCGACTGAATGATGTACATACAAATATTGCAATTTCATGGTGAAAAATTTCAATATTTTCGTCGCACTATGCTACTTGGGGAGGACTGTATTCGGATTGACCATATAATTTTCAACAGCTGTTGTTGTTTTTTACGCGTTTTGGTTCATGTTCGTAAACGAAACGAACCGAAAGCTCAGCATATTTTACAGAGCTAAGTATAATCGGAACGAGGACCATTGCGAAAGTCATTTTTGCATCACATAGTGCCAAGGATCCCAGTCCTCATAACTTTTTTGTCAGTGTCACCTCCGCCTTGAAGCGATAAATTTTCGATTCCTGACGTCGTGCGGTTGCCTAATTATAGTTTTGTAGGCGAATTTTGCCAACACTTCAAGAATCAACGCGACAGTGTCGATTCGCGCCTCACTGCACACTTTTTGGGTAGGACCATTTTTATTCGAGATAGAGTATCCAATTTTTTCGTAGGATCTTGAACAACCAGTTGAATCCAAAAAACATGAGATAAAATTGATAGACCATCATAAGTACTTTATCAAATGAGAATTCCCGGATTGGCAGGGACGGCAACAATGGCCATTGTTGTGGGGCAACAATTTCAATGGGAAAACAAAATAATTTTAGAATTTCTTATTTTTATTTTTTAATTCAGCAACAGTTTCGCAGTTAAGACTTGACGAAGAATAGAGGCTTCCTGAATCCCCCTTAGCACATAATATCTCCTGCAGCAGGAAAACTATTTTTGCCTCCAGGTGGCAAAAAGTCAAACCTGGAAATTTAGAAGGTTTGAAGCTTGCAAATCACTTTGTGCTTATCTGAAGCTGCTGAGTACCAGAGTTGACATTGCACTTTTACTTGCTTATCCTATTTATTTAGATATTTTTAATGGATATCGTATGCCTTCATCCTAACAATTTCAGAATTTTTTTTTTTGATTGGGATCAATTTTGTGACTTGAAAGAAAAATTCTGAACGGCATGAAAATATTAAACCAATCAAATTTTTCTAAAAAATGAAACAACAGAAATTTCAAACATTGTAACACTTCTCGAAATAAATCTATGTCTTGTACCAATGACATTACAAATTCAGCACACTAAATTTTAAAAGCAGTGTTTACAACTTCGGCCAAATCTCAGTGAGAACAATTCAAGTGCAGTGAACTTATTCTTATTATCAGAAAAATTGATTTTGTCTGATGTTAATTTTCATCTCCTTAGCTCGGCCATCTTTCAACCTGTGAAAAGATATTGCAAAGACCGCATTTATTTGCGAGGATGTTAATTTCAGTCAAATTCTGCTCATTACAAAAAAGAAAAAAAGGGGGTGAACAAGAGGTTGCTCTCATTGCTGCAAAACTTGTAGCTAACCTGTAGCTGGAGGAAACTTAGTTTTGCTGTGATCAAGGCTGGCAATAGTCTTGAAGATGAAGTGAATCTGGTAATTTGCTTAAGGTTAGGATGAGGGTATAATTTAGTTCTATTAGAAGGTGTAGTTTTCATGACTTTTATTGACCTGCCTAGAATTTAGGCAGGATACTTGAATTTAAAAATACACTTTGACAATAAACAACAAATGTTTAACAGGATAGAAACACAGATCAAGGAGATAAAATTAGGGTGTTGATATACAAATTCAGCGATCCCCCTCTTCAGCCCGCTCACTCAGGAACACATTCTGCAGGAGATAATTTACATGATCAATTTCCTCCTGCAACGAAATAGAAAGAGGCAATGGTTAAATAGGGACCACATTACCATGAGTGATTTTAAAACCATTTTATATTAATCTTTCAGCTTCCCTCATTCAAAAAGCAACTATACAACAGCTGAGACATAGTTTTATACTAATGAGTCATCTTTGTCCGACACTTTAATGCGAAACTCAAAAATTCTGTTGTTGTGCCCTGCTGTTTTTCATATAAAGACAAATAACCATTGCTCCCTGTACAAAATCCTCATTTTTCTGTTCAACAGGTTTTGTTTAGTGTAAAAAAGTATTGATTGTTTTGTTTTTGATGGTGAAACACTGTGAAATGGCTGGTTATTATGAGTCTTGCAAGGAGTGTGAGACAAGGGTAACTCATCTGTATCAAATTACATCTTTGCTGTAATACATATAGTTTTTGAAGCCGAAAGTTCAAAAGTGCCCAGACTTCTTATGGAAAGGAGGGCTATTGACATAAGCTATTTTTGGGGCCTTCCTGAATTTCCATTACATATTCTTTTCCATGGAAAATCTACACTTTTCGGAATGCATTATGATTTGGTTATTCTCAGTCTCATTTCAAGTCTAATACCGACATAGGTCTGAAGGCCGATTTTGGCGAAAAATGTGGATACTACGGGTTTGCGGTCGAATGACGAACAACCCTCGTTTCTCGCCAAAACCGACTTTGCTCACTGTGAATTTTGAGTTATTTTTCCTTCGAAACAACTATCATTTTCACCCTAGCTAGAGTTCGCGACAGACCTTTTTTTCTTTAAGTTTCCTTTAAACTGAAGTTGAATAGAAGAAAGCCTACCTCATATTCTTGTGAATCTGAATGCTCAGATTTTATCTTCATCAGAGAAGATTGCAGCTGTAAATCAGGATTGCTGCATTTTTCTAAGGCCGGGGGATTGTCTGCCACAAGTTCTCTGAGAGCTGCTAGGATTTGTTCAACAGATTTGTTGCTCTCGAAACAAGCGAGGAGATTGGAAAACATCTCAATAAAGCCCATTGAACACATCTCATCTGAAACAGTTGCAAATAAATCTCTTTTAACCAGGAGAATGAAATTAAAATACACCCCCTAATCACAGAGAAGATGATGGTCATTGGAAGTTGACACTAATGGAAAATTAGCTAACGCTCAGGGTTGCAACAAAATTTAGAAAATAAAGTTTGCTGACATTTCCCGAACAGATTTTGGTAAAATTCCCTGACATGAGGTATGCTGGATGATTGGAAAGACGTGATTTGAAATAGATCTCAGGTAAAACATGCTGTGCCAAACACCAAACCCATTCTAGAAAGCAAATAGTGGTGACTTAAGGAACACATTCTGACATTTCTAGGTCTCCCTGATGTTTTAAAATTCCCTCACATTTCTCGGTATTTACCTACTGACGATGGCAACCCTGTGTTAGGAGGGCAGGAAAACTTCCGAAATTATTGGAATCATCAGTTTAAAATTTAATAGTTTATCCTAGAACTTCACGCACAATTTGGAGAGAAAACTTTAATTTTTCGCTGCTGTATACAAAGGACTTTCACTGAAACTTATCACGTCTAGCAATCAATGCTTGATAAGTTGAAATCAAATGTATTGTCCCGCTATGATAAACAACAATTAAAGCATAATAAATACATTTGAAACATATTTAAGTGTCGATATTATGCCTCCAATGCAAGCAGGTGACCTGACCATCCACAGAAGAAGGTACCTCAGTCCACATAAATATTCAAGTTTTTGATATCAGAGCACTGTGAAATTTCCCCTATTCATACAGTGACAAAAATATCAGAAGAGAGTCTAACGAAACTCAAGTTACAATGATTTGCAGTTTTACGGACCATAAAACGTAATTCTGCGTAAAAGACATTAAAAATTCCGAACTTCCATTTCCAGCGTGAGAAATTGACGAATTGTGAACAACTATATACCCCCTGGTAGCCTAGAATTAGACCAAACCCCTTGGATATAATTCTTCAGAACACTGGAGTTCTCTGTTGAAATCTCAAAATCCAATGTTTCGACCCAAGTTTACAAGAACTGCTTTACTGTAAATTTTCCCTCTGTGGAGTAAGATCCCTTTACCTAAGGACTGTCACATGAAGAAAATTAACTCTCACAACCCTTTAATTACGTGAACTAGAAGTTTCTAATATTATATGTAAGTGATAGTTAATCACTGATCAGTATTAAACTCTGGTCATACGAATCCATCAGTTGTTTCATTGATAACAATTGGATGTATTTCTGCCAAACGGAACTGTGTGCATTATGACATGAGCCCTGTTACTCTTACGAGTCTCACGGCTCATGTCTTAATGCACATAGTTCCGTTCGGCAGAAACACGTCCAATTGAGAGACATTCTTCATACTAAATAAGCACATCCACTTCGAGAGGAGTACCGAAGATCAGCTATCTTGATTCATGCATCTTCTTGCAATGAAATGAAGTCAGGCAACATCAAACTCTGAGAGTGGATAAACTTACTCAGCAAATGCAATTGATCATAGTGTATTTGAGTATTGACCTCCTTACCTCTTATTTTACGGTTCTCTTTGCACAATACTGAAAGGAGAAAACAGGATTTTGTCTGAAGCCTTTCAATTGGAGACTGTGTTGCTTTGAGCAGTACTGCAAGGCCGTTGTTTTCCAGAAAAGGCTCGATCGATTTTGGATTATCCCTCATTAGACCTAATCAAAATATAAGGAAAAATATTTATGGGCCCTCTTAAAATATTATCATGAATTATGCGTTGGTGTGCAGTAAGTGACTGTAGAGAATTCATCCTCCACCTTTAGGGTTAGAAGCAGCTCTTAATTTAAAACTGCTGTGAATTTAATTGTTGTCCTTGGGGAATAACAACACCATTCAGTGTTTTAATGCCTAATAAGTGATCTCAGGCTTAGAGATGCCGTAGATTTTCAAGTGCCTCAGGATTTTGATGGTTGACAACCAAGTAAAATGGTTCATCAGACTTATGTCCATTCACCCTTACTGTGTTCAGTAATTTTTTCAGCACTGCTTTAAGAGTATCTTTTCTACCTAGAATACTGGTAATACAGTTTTTGAGCTGGTATATAGCTCCTGGAACCTCTATTTGGCGTTAAATGTTATGACCTCTAGAGGCATACATCCCCTGAGGTTAGTGTTAATCTTTTTAGGTGTTCTGCTTTGTAATCTCTCTGTATCTAAAATTTTTGGATCTGTAGAAATTTTTTTAACTACCTATTTTGCTCATTTGTAGTGAAGCATGAACAGTTCTACTCAATATTCAAAGAATACTCACATGACAAAGCATAGAGGCTTTTAGTCTGCGTTTTTTCATCAGGATCATTACTTATTAGATCAAGTAAAATTGGAATGAAACCGGCTTCCAGTATGTGTTGTTGACAAAAGGGGTTGTTTTGTGTGAGGTCTGCTATAATTGATGCTGCTCTCCATCGAATGCTGTCGTGTTTGGAGCTGAGACAAGGTTTGAAAACTGCAAAGCCTCCAAGTTTAAAGAAATCTGGAAAAATTTTGAACAAAATATTAAAAATACATGGAAGATAAATTTTTTTTTCCAATTATTAACCAAATTTTAAAGGTAGTTTAATTGCCTTTATTACGTCTTGGAAAAGAGAAAAATTAATCCACGGCAGCATTGAAGAGTGTGTCACTTTTTTTTCCATAACGATCAGATAGAACAGTACAGTGGGTTTGAACTTTTCCATTAGAATTGTTGCTTCGAAGAGTAAATTAATTTGAAATTCTGCAATTCTAAGTATTAGCTTTTTTTACATTTGTTGCAGGCGACACATCAAGAAGGTTGCAGATCAGCGCAGCGATTTAAGGTAGGTGAAGGAAATTTCACTAAAATTGAGTTGAAGCTGCACTTATTTGCAAGTCCCTAGTCCGTTATTTCTCTTCACAGTTGTTGACCTAGAAAACCAACAACTACATATTTCTATTGTAGTAGCAGAGAGGATTTTAGTTTTGGGACCTAGCAGACAAATTTGTAGTTGCAGAGAGTAGAAATTAGGGTCAGTGTTTCTATGGGCACAGATGACATACTTTAAAAAATTAGCGCAGCCCCAATATCTGTAGCATTCTTGTTCTTTCTTTTTGTTAGTGAAAAATCATCTTGGCTTAACTGAGTTAAGCTTGCCAAGGGATCTAAGTGGAAACATTTCTGGGACATTTTAGCGAAAAAATGGACACATCCACATGTATGGTAATTGCTTACGATTGAAAGAGCCATCAGGGATATTCCCAGGGACTCTCTCATTCCCATTTCCTGCACTTAATTTTCCTGGGAAACCATGCTTGACCACCAAGATAACTTAATTAATCGGGCCGAAGATTAAAGTAAATAAAAATGGAAAATTGAGATCAGCACATTGCAGAATCAAGACCATGGAAGAAATTATTTTGTTAAATCCGATAAGCAAGGGCAAACCCTGTTTAACCCTCTCTCACATCTATTCCCATTAATCCATCCTAACATGCCCTAAGTCTTCTACGTAAACTACTTTTGAGGTGACATAATTTCTTTACCATTTGCTGCATCAATGCCGTCTACAAACTCTGCAAGGGTGTCAAACGCAGCCTCACACTCTTCTGGATCATCAGATGCCTCACTTTTAATGATAACTCGAATAGCATTCTTCAGCTCCTCTGTGACATTGACAATTGATGATTCAAGAGCTCTTAATAAAAATTCTTTTCGCTGAAACACATTAACATGGACTGTAACTCATAGTAGGTAAGTAAACAAAGATTAGGCCAACTAACCAGGCGATTTTAGGAGCCAAGGCAACTTGGCACCTGCCATAGTGCTGTCTGAAGTTGGACCGTCTTCCTTATCGAGTAAATTGTAACTCTCAAACTGCTTACTTAAGACACATGTGCTGTTTTACTGAGATTAGACAGGTGAGACTTGAGCCTTTTGCTCTTAAGCATGATAAATTCAATGGGTTGGTAATTAGGGTTAACATTGCATCCTCTCAGTTTCAATGTAGCTATCTCATGCTGTTTTTCAAAAGACAGTAATGTGCTGGGAAATTTTTACTAGTGCTATGATAATGCGTGCAAGTCATCAGACAGATCCATCATACTAATTTATACTACTTTCTGTTCTCATTGTGAATCAGCTTGGAAATTACCTTGATCTGATTTTGAATCAGCTAATGATAAGTTTGCTGTTAATGGATTATAGTGTTCATTGCCAGTTTTCTCTACCTGTCACTCCCGGTTGCTTCGTTTCTGAATGATAGTGAGTACTTCTGACTATGGGATCTATGACCTCTTCGAATCTCAAAGGCTAGAACTACCCCATACCAGAGCTACCAGCTACTTCCACACTATACGGGTGACAATCTGAAACTATGAATCTTGGAACTTACTTTAGAAGTATTGAATCCCCTTACATATTAATCCACTTACCTCCTCATCTAATGGCAGTGCGGACGAACTAGCACTAGTTCCATCAGGGTTCAAAGCGATTGAATACCGAAGTAAATCCTGTAATGTTCTTGGCTGGATACTTCTACCTGCACTGACTTGATCATTTGGCTGCACATTGTATTCTATCGCACCAGCAATCGTATTGGGTGAGTCATTAGTGTGATTTTCATCCGCATTGGGCATGGTGCAAGAAAGATCAGGCGAACACTTCTGATAGTCGAAGATTCTTCTCAGAGAACACAATTAATTTGTTTCTGTTTTACGCATCAAACCCCTCGCCGATACAGTGAAAAATTAATCTGGAAAATCACACGAACTTGCAGTAAATTAAGGATTCTGTCAAAAAGTCAGGATAGAAATTGTAGGAATTTTCTGGAACGCACAACGCACTTTATCAATTCAAAACAAACCATAACAACAACATCAGAATCTCTTTCATGGAGATAAGATTTCATGAGAGGACACCTTCCTATTCTAGCATGCGTGTCCAATCTAGAGTCCCTTTATACCCAGAGTTAAGACAACTCACTTTTGGTTGGGCTGAAAATGGCCTAAAAAAAAATCCAATTCTGATTGGTTCTCGCTCATGGAGGCCGAAACGAGTGCACCAAGATGGCGGTACCTCGAATGTGAACAAGAATAATGAAAATATTACCTAATTGTGGTTTATCAAGAGTAAATTGTTATTTCCATCGGTCCAAAATGAAAATAGATTAAGAAATTATTCACAAACCAATCTCATTTTCTTTTTAATTGATCAATTTGTTGATGTTGTTTTTTTTGTCTGACAGACATCGCAGGATTCCTGATCCTTATCCCTCAATATCGTTCGTTTGGGTGCACTCGTTTCGGCCTCCATGGCCAGCCAAGGCCGGCTGCCAGTCAGCTGATAATCGAGTTGTCTTAACTCTGGGTATAAAGGGACTCTAGTCCAATCTAATCACACCCTAATCGTGGCGCTCAATTTAGCATAATAATGTAAATTTCTATCTCATTGATTTATTTTTCAAACCACTTATAGTGTTTTACAACTTTCACTTCCGCCTCGCTGAGAGCTAGTCGTTTGCTCTCTTATATCTTCTCGCCTTGCACAACAGTCCATGGAGTTGCATAATAAGTAGGCGTCAGGGGCCATGGTCCAGCTAGGTCCAGCGAGACTCTAACAATTTCCTCTCTCTGTGCCGTGCCAGTGTTATTCTTTTTCTGTTGTTCGCCGTCCTTGTTCACCGATCGGAAACTTGTGAAGTTATTTTCTGTTGATATTTGGTGATTATCTCTCAAATTAAATTATCCATATAATAACGGTGTCCATGAGCTCTTGCGCTTAGCCCACTCTTTATTGCCAGGCGTCACCATGTTGATCGTGAAGGTAAGTTTGTCCAGTTTGAGGTTATTGCATCACATTTCCTAATTTCCTAATTTAAACCGCAATTCAATCATTTGCGTCTCATTCACATACCGAAACTCGCTTCCACAACAACTATCTCTTTTACCAAGAGGTAGAACAATTTTTCAGTCTCCTACTTGAGGAAGCATATCCTAAATCTACGTTCTGGAGTTGGTCCATGGCTCTGTGACGAACCCTGCTGGCAGCGACGTAGGCCCCTTTTAGCGTAAACTTTCTTAATTTAAACATTTCCTCCTATCCCATCTTGTGCACCATATGCCCAGTGAACCCTTTTTTGACTAAACTCTCATTTCTTGTTATTGTAAGAGTTAGCACCAGGGCTCTTGATATAAAACAGGCCAATGCTTTACATTGGAACTTGTAGTGGGATGCCTTAAGGAGCGTCCAGACAGCCTGCTGGGCTCCATGGTAGGCTCTGTTATGAGCACGAAATTTTCCCCCAAATCGGCACAAGCAGCTCACTCTAATTGCACCAATATTATGAAGCCTGACACGCCGATGTAACGCGCCTTCAGAGCTCGCTCATTTCACGTTGAGATATATGTCAAGTAAAATTTTTGTTACGACCCATCAATGGTGCTATCTGATTGCATGTATTAACATGTTGAGTGGTGCTGATTCAGAGCTAATTGGAGATCAACATTGGCCTCAATTTATTATGAGTGAGCAGCAAGCTCTACAAAGTTGTAAGATAGTAGCAATGAGGTCCTGTCACTTATTGCGTTCTAGTTATAATTAAGATAGTCCATGGAATTTCTCAAGCAAACACAAGGTAACTATATCTCTGGATGAGGGTTGTAATAAACATTCCTGCAAGTGATGTGGTTCTGTTTTGTCACAGAGCTGTACTCAAGCCACTTAATGTAGATTTAAGGTATGCAATTTAAAATTGGTCCATGACAGTATATGAAGAAGGATGGTTTGACGGTCAATTTGCTGCCACTATCAAAATCCTTATATTTATACTTCCTGTTTGAGAAATTAGTCGGAGCAGGTGTGTAATTGGGTCCTTCTAAAATAAATGCGTAAGATAAGAAACTGGCTCTTAAAGTGCAATCAAGGCCTGGCCTGGAGCCGAAGCCATCAAATACTACTGCAGCTTCTGCCTTAACAGATTAATAGGTCAGAAGTCATTATCTACCTGATAATTATGCAAACTCTCAAACCCTCTGTAAGATTGAACCTTATATCTTGATTGTGGTTTCAGTCAAGCGGAAGCATAGAAGGCGGGAAAAATGAAGATGATGAGAAGGACATCCTCTCATATTCAGAGAAGCTGTTCGGGATGTACAATGTAAGTTGAAATTCTTTTCTCTCCAATGCATTCTTATTCACTTGTACATTCCACTTCAAGTACGAGCGCAATGTTAAAGCCAAACCTAGAAGACTAAAAACAGCCATTTTTAACTATAGTGATGATGTTAAGCTGGTTTCAATTTTTAAATTTCATCTCTCAGTGACATCGCTTCAGATAAGTTGGTGGTTGTTTACTCCTGGTTTGCAAGCAAGAGCCTGCCACCGCCCATCAGTGATGGAGGACTGACTCAGCGGTAGCCAAACAGGTTTACCATGAAATACCAAAATGAATGATCCCTTTAGCTCTAATTTTCCTTTTTATTGTATGATTTAAATCATGTGGAAGCACTTATTTTGCCCTTTTCTTTGACTGAAGAGAGAGCAAGGTCTTGCTGAAGCCAGAGGGACCACTAATTATAATGTTCGAGAAGGAAATTAATTGAAAAATTGACAATTAAGAATTGGCAGAACCTTGTAGTGTAAAAGTATCAACTTTACTTTTGCAGGGAGATATTGACGTCCAGCCAACAGAAGTGATCAGCAAAGAACACGCTTACTCGAAACCATGGAACTGGTGTTTAGAGAAATCATTTGCAAAACCGACCAAAACACTTTTCTTCAGCAAGCCAGTCAAGAATGAAACAAATGGAACCTCTTGTGATGAAGAGATTGATGTAGTTAATGGCTGTGATGATGTGAAGTCAAATTATGGTTATGATCTTGACAAGGCCTATGCTGTGATGCGGGAGATTGAAAATCATTGCAATTTCACTCGGCCCACGGACAATGATGATGAATGGGAAGAGCATATACCCAAGTAAGTATTTGTCTCACTGAGAAAAGGAAGATAAAATTCAATTGCAGTGTAAAAAATCGGATATGAGGAGTAGCTCAACGTGACAAACCTTTTTTGAGTGAAAGAGTGTATTTTTCCAAGATGTCAGACCAGAATTGGTCAATTGTGGTAATAACTTGTTGAGATAGCCTCTGAGAAAAGCCTGAGGTTCCCAAATGCATAAATTTGACGAAATTGCATTTAAAATTTTTCTGCTGGATGAAAAGATTTAGATAATATTCTCTCAACTAGGTAGTTTTTTCAGTAGAAGTTTTTCTCCTTGATTTGGAAGTAGGAAGAGCATGTTCAATGAAGAAACATTATTACAGGCCAACACCAAATGTTTTTGTTTTAAAGATTCTTTTCACTCGGAAATGTTTTTCATTGGTTTCCACAAAATATGTGTGAAGGGCCTCAGAATTTGAAAGTCAGTTACTACACAATTAGTTTCATTCAGCGTTTGGAATTCATTGTTTGATACTTGTATTGTTTTTTGTTTTCAGAGTTGGGTGGACTTATATACAGTATCGGTTGTTTTCAAGAGTGTTACCAATCTTGAATTTTGATCTGAATGCAAGGTTGGCTTACACGGGAAGTAAAAATGAGCCTGTCTTGAGAAGACTCTCCGTAGACAAGACTGCCCGAAAATTTCGAGAACTTCTATGCTCAACACAATGGGACTTGCGGCTGATTCAGTGGCTCCATGGTGTTCTTATTGACTACCTGCCCTCCTTCTACTTAGCTGTGTATATAGATATTTTACAGGTACAACAGCTCATTTTAAAGAATTGCCAAGAAAAGTTCCGTGTAAATCTTATGAGCTCTAAGGGAAAAATTAACACTCACCTTTTAGAAGTACGACACCAAAGAATCAGCAAAAAGACATGTCACCTTCTTCATCATGTTTCTTGTTTTAAGTTTTACATGTTACTCCTTTCAGTTTTCAAAAATTTGTACAAAGAAATGATGGAAGTAATGAAAAACACTTTTCCAACTCTCTGAGTTTGTGTCCTTTCAACAAAGACAGCCATAATAATTTCCAAGAATTTTACACCATCTATTAGAGTGAGTCCTTGAAATAGAAGTGTTGATGGGCTGAGTTTTAGTTCAACATATGAGGAAATTTGAGTTCAGAAGTTTATCTAACTTTGCTGTGAATTTAATCTATCAATTTTTTTGGATTTGTACACCAGTCATTTTATTCTAACAACATAGGCAAGCTTTTTCTGATTAAAATATTTATTCCTGATGTTCCAGACTTTAAGAAGAAAAATACCTCAGTTGATTGACAGAATGATGAATACAGCTGGTGCATCTGGTCGCTTTGGCCCCACTAGTGTTGAAGGCCTGAGTAATCTTCTGAAACGTACATGGGATCCTGTAGCTCCAAGCTTACCAGCGTTTAAACCGGTATGTTCAATTTTTTAAGTGGTATCCCTCAGTAGATTAATTAATTCAACTATTTGCAAATAAAGCTATTTACTCCTCCAACTGGTCCAGTGGTGTACTTAACTACGCCCTGCTCAGTTCTCATTTGAACCCATCTACTACTTTCAGAACATCATTTTCTGGGAGCAGTAGTGCATCCTCATGCAAAATGGTGAGTCACATTTCATGCGTTCAGTGCGTTCAAATGGCAATGGGTGCATCGTCTTTTGCTCAGTTGACTCTGAGGAAAACTTAGCTCAAGGTTCGATGGCAAAAATGTTTCGTCTCTTTGATGGTAGAATGGAAATAACCCAAAAGGGGGGGGGAGAGTTTTAACCTGACCTGTTAGCAAAGTTTTACCAATGTTTTTTTAGTCAGAATTACCATATTTTCCCGCGTATTGTACACACCTCTTTTTATAAATTTCGGCTCTCAAATCGAGGGTGCATATGATACATGGATATGGCCCCAAGATAAGTTGCCCCGTTTTTTTTTTTTTTGAAAAGATCCCAAAATTTGAGGTTAGTATGATACGCAGGTAAGTGCGGTATAGTTAAATACTTGATACATTATTATTGACAAAAATCACACAAGTAAGAATAATTGCTGATACATTCCCTGATTCTTCAGGCAGTAAGTTATTATGTTATCAGGCTCTATGCTTCAGATTGCAAGCTTTTCTTACTAGACGTGCAATAATTGAAGACATTCCTCTCAATGTACAAAGTGCTTCTCTTGAAGTAAGCACTTAGAAAATGCATTCAGGGTTAATTTGGAATCTAGATTGATTCTGTAGTAATCTCTATTAGCCTCCCCCTTTTGTGTCGTACACTGAGAGCCCTTTTTTCTAGCATATTTTTTCCTCACTCTCCAATCTCAGTATCTCTAACATTAAAGAAAAACCTAAATTAATCATCTTATTAATTTGAATGATGAGAAAGTTGCTTGAATCAATGTTAAATTTTCATTTGCAGCGAAAATTACCTGGAGATGCACTGCTGGTAATGGTGCCTAGCAGTCCTGGCGATTGGTTAGCTCCACACTCCAGAGCTCAACAGTGGATGACAAGTCTTTCAGACTTGAGCACTGTTATCACTGTCATGACAACTCCAAGTAAGCATTCAGAATCAGTTAGTAATTTAGCATCTTATTCTTTAAAGAATACCTTCAATGTGAAGCTACAACCTATCTTTTATGGTCATCATAATTGAAATTATTGCTGATAATATTTTTTCTTAGCTACCTTTGATTTGGAATATTATTCCTTTAAAATTTGTCTTACAATTATCTTAGTTTTTAAATTGAAAGGTTGAAATTCAGAAAAATTATCTGAAATAATGAATGAAAAGAAATTAAGAGTAAAACTTTGCCGTGAATTTTTTTTGTATCTTTGTTGTGATTGAAGATGATTGTCTGAACATCGAGAAAATTATGAGAAGACCTTAAACAAGTAAAAACAAACAGTTCATGCTAATCGCACTCTTCTGACATATCGCAAATATTCCAAAGAGATTTGATCATGTCCATATTCGGAATCGTCTAATTTGATACTCTTGATTTTAGATCCACAACAAGAATCGGTGAACATGATGTCTTGTCTGGATCATATGTTAGCTGCAACTCGTTCAAAATTGTCCGAGTTGCGGACAGATTATCCTGGACGGCCTATCATATTAGTTGGTCTTCACACAGGAGCAGCTCTAGCTCTACAGGTATGCATTTTAAGCATTCAGTCTTTGCACTAGTTTTTTAAGTAGCTTTTTATTTGTATATGGAACTCGAAGACAACCAAAATCTTCAATTTGAGGGATTTTCTATTTGCTTTCGGTATGTTTTTAATCTTGAACAGATGCTACAGAAACAAAATTATCTTCTCCTCTACTTTCTTTCATCAGTAGTCTCAAAAAATTAAGAAGGAATGGGTTAGTTGCACTCACTTTGTTTAATTCATTTTTAAAAGGATGGAGTGGACTGAGCTTGTAGGAATTTTTACCGATATTTTTAATCTCCAAATTGCATAGGAACCCAGTTTTAAAAATTCCAAAAATGGGACCCATTTGAACCTACATTTTTGGCTGGCACTGATGACATAGCCAAGCAGGTGGAACGGTGTTTGTTGATTAGCTGAACTCAAATTCAGGCATTGCCTTGCTATGCCAACTCACCTGTCCGCTTTTGATTTGACCTGTCCTCAAAAAAAACTGCACAACCTCCGACTGCAAAAATTCCTTGCCACTGATTCCTTGTACAGTTCTCCGAAATAGTAAATTCGTGGAAAGAATTGTCGATGCAAAACAAAATGTCGGTAAATTGTCAAAATATGCATTTGTGAAATTCGAAGCCAGTTTTTTTGAAGATATTACAAAAAAGCAATTCCTTTTAATCCTGCCCTTTTCATTTCATTTTTGGTATACTCTTTCTTTTGCCAAGAGCTTCATTGAGTTGAAGAATGCAGGTCTCCAGATTTCCAGTTTCCTTTTCTGAATCATCTGATTTTTTTTTCTAGGTAGCATTGTTTGAAAATGTTGCTGCAACCGTTTGTCTTGGGTTCCCTGTAAATACAGTTGAAGGCAGGAGAGGAACTCCGGATGATGCCATTTTAGATCTCAAATCACCAGTCTTCTTTGTCTCTGGAGCACTGTCCGTCACAGCTTCGTAAGTAGTCGATTTTTCAAACTCCTTTGCCTCCTCCTATTTTCAAGCATGTATCATAACAAAGAATTAAGTAAACAGTGAACTAGAAATCCTCAGGAAATAGTAAGGAACATCACATCAAATGTTATTGAAATTTAGCGGGCACCAAATTTTTTGGTATTCTTTGCATAATCCTTCAAGTTCTCAGTGAAAAGTTAGTTTTTCAGGTTTGTTAATCTCTATGAAATCATAATCTGCTTCTACCAGAGAATGAACTTTTTCAGTAAGCCGAACTTTGCCTGACAAGTTAGGTTTAAATTGCAGATTTAGCTTAAGTGTTTTGCCTTTAGTTTTATCCCGGGTAGAAAGTTAGAATTGACTGATTCTAAAGTCAATTTGGTAAGTGATGTTATCTCTTTTATCAGCATATATTGGCAGCACGTTTTCAACCTGTGGAAGTGTACCTCCATTTTATCACATTTAAATTGATCCTTTCCTCACTAAATGAGCAAGCTGGGATTTTGCGCGAATGTGAGGAGGACAGTTCTAACATTTTTGTATGCACACTCTCATTTTCAAACTGAAGGGCTTGGCACAGTACTCTCATATTTTTCCTCAGTCTGAGCCCTTGATAGACAAATTTCAAATACCTCCCAAGATTTTTTAAAGTTTGTCATCTCACGTTTAACGAAAATCGCAATCGAGTCTGAATTCCTTCCCCTTTTAGTCTTACATCTTGAACGTTTAACATCGCTGAGGGAGGCAAATTTGACACAACTATTGAAAATCTAACTTGCTTTTGTCATTCATTTAATTTCCACAATAGGCCAGAAGAAATGGAAGAATTGAGATGGAACTTACGAACACCAACAGGATTGCTAATTGTTGGCGGAGCGGATGACCATCTCTGCGTTAGTGACAGTCTGTGTGTATCTGAGGGTATCACCCAAAGCATGGTCGACCGTTGTATCTTGGTAATTACTGTTCTTTTTCCTCATCTCTTACTTTTTCATGCCTTACATTTATTTTTTGAACAGTTCCGCAGAGGTTTCTGTGTTATTTAAAAGTAATGAAGTTGTCTCAGAAACACCTTAAAAATGGCTTGTTCGGTCCAACATTTCGAAGTTGAATTTAGTGATACAACCCATTCATTGTTGCACAATTTCACTTTTTCTCTTTCCATTCATGAAGTTTCCTGTTTCTCAGTTAGCAAAAGTCTAAAGCATTTTTGTGGCTTTTTCACATAACCATTTGCTTATCCATGATCCTCGTTAAATAACTCCTTTATGTTTATTTTCTCATTTATACATATTTTTAGTGTATTCTTCTCTAAGAGCATTTTTAAAAGAGTACCGATCTGAGACCAAAGATTACGAATATGATAGCCCTTCAAATTCTTCTTCCCATGATATATCAATGACCAAAATACAAAACTATGTATTTCCAATGCAATGCGTCAAAATTTCCCCTCCTAGTTTACTTTTTGGAAAAGAAACAATCCAATTTTATAGCGTTAAATTTATACAGAATATTCTGCTAATAGGAAAGAAGAATCAAAGTAGTTTTTAAGAAATTAATTACATCAACAAAATCAGGTATGACAAGAAGTCTGCAACGTTGCCAACAGAGACATGTGGTTTTACACTTCAGCCTTCCATTTATGACATATAATTGACATTATACTCTCTCATATTAATACTCAATTTTATTACCTGGCCTGTTACAGTTATCCTCTCAATACTCTTGTCATCTTAACAATGTCATTCAAACTAAATTATTTTCAATTTAATTTTTAGATGTCTGTTTATTTCTTCAACAAAATTTGCAAGTCAATGGCTCCTAATTTTTTTCTCTTTGTGATGTCTTCAGGATGAAATTGGTGAATTCCTTGGCAACACTTTAGTCTCTCCCCACACAGTTCCTCCATTCAGGCCACCACCAACACGGACGTCAAGCATTACAAATGACTCGCCAGTCCTCAGGCGCTCCCTCAAATCTGAGCGCAAACAGAAAATTATCGATACCAATTTCGAACCCAAGAAAACCTCTCCAGGTATAATTTGCTCTCAACTTTGCATCTTCATTGCAATCCACTAATTATTTCTTTCAAATACCCTTCATTTATCAAATAATTAAAATATCAACACATTTGGTGAGAGTAAAAAATACTAAAAACAGTTTGATCTCTCTGGTAGGGAAGTGAATAGAAATCAAGTTGATCTTTGTCACTTTAAAGGAAACTGAATATCATCTCAACTGACTTTTTGGGGTCTTCTTTTCGCAGCAGTTATACACTTAACTCATGAGCTAATCAAGCTCTAGAGGTTGCTCTTTGTATTTTGAGACAAATGTCAATCTTTAATTAGCACTACTCAAAAGGTTAATACATGCAATTAGATGGCATCATTGATGAGTGGTGAGATAAATAAAACTTGATTTTTGTCTCAACATACAATGAGCAAAACTGAGTGTAGACTTCTCGCTTCGCACACAAGTATTGGCCTTATTTTATAAGTTTATATCTACTCTATTCATCAATATGTAATTTCATCTTTAAAACAAATGTAGTGCTGAAAAAAGAAAAGAGAATCCCTTGTATTGAAAGACTCTTACCACCATAGTCGAATTTCCGTGAGTGGGTGTGATTAAGTTTTTGCTTTAACTGCCCAACTCCATTACGGCAAAACATAATTCCCTTGGGTGATGGTGCACCTACAACATTAGGTTTTCATTCTGGCAACATGGATGACCACCTTTCAAATTTTCCTCCGAGATGGGTTGAAAAGTGGACGGATGCAAACGTTTGCCAAAATTCATCAAGCACTGACAGCAGATTGTTTTCTCCGCTGGATTGTAATCCTGCCGATGTGGTTTCACTCGTAGACATTCGCCTTATGAGTTTTCCCTAATACTTCTTATTTTCTGTGATACAGTAAAAGATGTTGAAACATCTTTCAATCTATCAGGTTTTTAGTAATAAACTGTTTTACTCAAATTTCAGTTCCCCCCAAGAAACCTAGATTGTTGCCACCAAAACTAACTCCGATGCAACTGAGCCAACTGCTTGAAAGTAGTAGACAGTCATCGACAACAATGGTAAACAAAAAGATAACAGCAAAAGTACTAAGCGATCCTGACATAGAAATAGTAAGTCTTCCTTTACTTCTTTCAGTGTAATTATTTGTCAGTGCCTTTGGTATGAATATTCATGAATTGCCTAGGTAGTGTCAATAAGAAACTCATTCGCTTAATTTCAGATAGCATCAGAAAATCTGCCTCTTCCTCTCTGCACGGAAACCTAACATATGCATCAATCGAAAGTCAAGTTTACCGTACTTGATTCCGGTTGATTTCAGTTGAGCTCAGAAAGTCAGGAAAATTAGTTCCAATTGAATTCACTCTCCTTGTGTTGATAATAAGACTCCAATTTTTCAGGAGGTACAAATAGGGTGCTTACTGGCTAGAAGATTGAACTAACTTTTTGAGAGCGGTCAGGAAATGCTGTGAAAGTAGAGAAATTTCGCCGAAAGGTCCAGCATTTTTCGTTTCATGACACAAGTGTTTTTTAAAGACAGCCTGAAAAGTACGCAATCCCTCGTGCATTGATTACCTATTTTTGCAATATTTGCCCGCTAGATCACCATTGTACAGCCTATTGATCTTCAGGCCACCAATGAGCTTCAAATTTCGTGGTTACATCATTTTTCCCCGATTTGTGAGAGAACTTTTTTTCAAGGCACTGTAATAGTATTGATTTTTCTGTTGAGGAGGTGATGAATTTTTAGATTATACTAATGACATTATTTTTATTTGTGTCATTCAACCAATTGTATTTGTGAACACGTATCTTGTTGATGGGTTGATTTTTGACTTCCTATTTTGTGAGTTGTGGAATTTTGAAGAGAAAACAAACTGGGTAGTTCTTTAATCAGACAACATTTTGCAGTTGGGAACTAAAATTTCTGGCTCATCCGTAGCAACACTTAGGGCCATAGGGAAATTAATGGTACCTACATAAGATGTTTCCAAAGTAAGCTAGAAATTTTAATTCCTGATTGCAAAATGTGGTCGAATTCATGTCTTGTCCAGAAATTCATTTCTTTGCAATCTCATCTACAAATCTAAGTATCTATAGCCTGCATTGCTGATATTTTTTTGGCGAGTTAATAAAATATGTTAACTATCAGGAGGAAAAGAAATGTTCGTAGGTGACCTACCTATAGCATTATTTGTAAAAATCGATAGAATCATAATGAGTTTTCTACAGCTGTTCCAGGAAGGAAATGAAAATAGCAACAGCAGCAACAGTGTCAGTCCAGGAAGCAACACAACCACTAGTATTACACCTCAGGCAACCCTCTCTCTGTCAGATTCAATATCTCGTTCCCGAATGAATTTGATGACAGTGCACAGAGCTCCTGCTGTCACAAAGCATACTGATCCCATCACAGGAGCAACTTCATCTATTACGCATCGAACAGGTACCTCATAGTGACTTGGTAGAAATGCCCTCTTTGGCAGCAGAAAAATATTAATGTGAGCTAAGGTTCAGAGGGGTGCAAAATCTTCTTGCAACTGGTGTGCCATAATCGGTTGCGTGGGAAATTAAGAAGGCTAACACATGTGAAAACTTTGCGTTTTCTGCAGAATGAGATGAATTGCAAAATGCAGTGGAGATCGTGTAATTTTTTCTTAAGTTGTACACAAGGAGCATAAGCCAAAGATTATCTTTTTTAAATCTTTGAAAGAAAACGAGTTTTCCAAATAGGGAGGCTGAGAACTTTCTTTCTCTCGGGAGGTGTGCGAGCTACCAAAGAATTACATCAATATCTTTGAAATGTAATTTGTAAAATTCCCCTCACTCCCATACTCTTATCATTAGTCAATCAAAGTTCTTTAAGTGGCACAAACATTTTGGATATACAAATTCATGTCACAGAAGAAACACAGAAAAAGAGAGCACCAACTCGCACTGCATGAATGATCAAAAAAGGTATGAAATCAAATAGAAAACATGTCTTCTTGTGAAACAAAATTAAGATATATGTATCCAGAGTTCCTGTTTATGTTCCTCAGAATGTTATTGGCATGATCCGTAAAACTTTCAGTCCGGACTTACAAAATGTCTGCTAAATTTTATTTCATGCGAGTGTGATATCGTACCTATTTCAATTTTTTTCATTAATACCAAATTCTTCACGTTTTGGAAATCATTGATGTAACTGTCTTCTTGAACGATAAAATTCTTTAGCAAACTAATCATCACCCTGTTTTATAATTTCTGATCTTTCTTTTATTTTTTTAGTCTTGAAAACTGGTCGTTTAACACCAATATCTTCTTTCATACCAACCAAAAATGGGCCAACTCGTGTAATGCTGCCATCCAGAGGTAATTGTTCATCTATTCCCTTGCAATGTTGAAAGATTTTAGATTTCCTACAGGTCCATTTGGCTGTGGCATTAGTATAGCGCCCAAGAAATTAAAATTAAAAGTTTAATATTGGTCTGAAACTGCATTGAACTTTTACAATTTTCACTTCTTTTTCCTTGTTTCACTCTTAAGTAAGAGTGATATTCAGTCAAATTTTTAAAAAGTAATCTTTTTATAAGCGTCTCGTTTCGACTAAATTTTGNAGAGAATGCAGTGAGTGATAAGCAGTACATAAACAAACATTTCCGAATCAACCGTTCATCGCGCGCGCTTTCAAATATTTTGAATATTACCGCGAATATTTAATTTGACGGACTACAAATCATCATTTGTACACTTTTCATTGTAATTCTTTCTTAATTGTCTTGATTCTTTTCTTATTTATTGGATCTGTTGTCCAAAAAACGGCACTTCCACTTGGAAGCCATTTTTTTTTTTTTGGAAATCGATCGGAAATCGATCGAAAATCGATAGGCCTTAAAATCTGTCAGAAACTCCTAAAATCGATCAGAATTCGATCGTTCATAATCGGCTTGAAGGTCGTCATCTTTCATTACTGATCGGAGTAAAAGTAACCTAATTTTAATGCCATTTCTTGTTTTGTTTTCCTCCAGTTTCCCACAGCAACGAAGTGACAAGTGAAGTAGTCTCGCCAACTAAAACTGTGACTTTGCTGGAAAACAATGTTTTAGAAGACCTGACACCTGACAAGATTCTTGACCTTCCCATCGAAATCGCCTGTGATGATTCTCCCATAGAAGTCACGCCTGTTTCGACACAGGTTCCTTTGTCGGTGGATAAAAGTGGTATGAAACTTGTTGTGAGAAAACCGCAACACCCACTTCCTCCACGCCCACCCAACTTGAAGTACTCCAAGATTTTCGTCACTCACAAGAGTGTAGATAAAGGGAAAACGCTGAAAACGAATCACACACCGATCAATCGTTGAAATCTGTACTCTGTGGTCATGCTTAGTTTTCCCGTACCTATCCAAAGCTGGAAGGCTTAGTAGATTTTTTAGTAAGCTTATTACCACTATTCAACTAGAAGCTCGAACTGAACAATCATGTCGGTCCAGTAAATCCTCTTATAATATGAATGTTGTTTCTCAGGAAATCGTATGATTTTGATCGTACTCTTGTAGGTTTTAGAGTATTTAATGGCTTATTCTAAGCAACATGATGTTTAGTAGAATATGCAGGGTGTCTTCAGGTCTGGAACAACGAAAATTGTCCGGGAATTTCTCTAGGTCTGGGAAATCAGGGAGTTAATAAAAAAGACAGGAAATTTGAAAAATTGAGAAGAAGAAAAACAAAACATTAGTGTCTCCCACACAATCGATAGGTGTCTTAGTCTGGTTTAGGGTAATGCTGTAAGTTACACCATGGATAGTGTCCAGAGGTATAATTTTCAGTGAGGAATTGCAATTTTAGGTCATTTAATGACTCATACCAGAAGACAAAAGGTTCACATGTCTTTGTCCCTTGCAGTGAAATTAATTCGAAAAATAATCCATCATTTTTAGTTCTTTGCATACAAATTCTCACTGTGAAAAGTCAGAATTTGGGCCAAGGAAAACCTGGAAAATCAGGTAATTTTTTCCTGCTAAGTCTGTAGACATCCTGAAAATGTTCAACTTTGCAAGTGCATTTCATCCTGAAATTAAATGATCTAACCTAGCTTGAGGCACCAAAAGAAAGCAAAAGGTATACTTTCTCAACTTTTCTTTAAGTTCACTCATGGTTGGAAGATAAATTTTACAAGGGAAAGCTTGTAACGAACCAAAATCAAAGTGACCATGTTCGATTCGTCAATAGATATTCCTTCTTTGAAAGCCATGGAATGTGTTACTCAGGAGGTTTCGAACAAAATCAGTGTAGTTATGTGTATTCACTAACATTTAGTAAAGTTTAGTGTTTTCAAAACCCTGTATCTTATAAAAAATAGTAAAGTTAAGAATATTCTTGTATTTTTTAAAGAGGCTGTGATAAATCTTCTTTTTTTTTAAGTCTCAAATACACAAAGTTTTCACTTTGTTTACTGCTTTTATATTGTTGTTTTTTTTTTTTTCTTGAAAGTTTTGTTGCATATGTGAATGCAACTTTATTCAACATGCTTCCAAAAAGTAGAATTAAGCTTCCATTCTTCACTGTAAAGGATGTTTTTACCAGTAAGATGTTTTCGTACCCTTTTTAGCATCCCCCATTGAATTAATTCTTTTTTCTTTTCTATTAAATTATTCTTTAATAAAGTCAGACAGTTTTGACATGGAACAGATGTAGCTGTCCACTAATTTTGTAATCAGTAAGCTATCCTAGATAGCAGTTTGTGATTGTCATTTTCTTCTACCTTTCGACCGGGGACAGAGCCCTGCCTGCCTAGCCTCTACGTTAAGAATTCTAATCATCTCTGGGGACAGAGGGCAGCTCTGTGCCCATCTCTTTGGAGGTCGCTTCTGACTGTAAGGTCGTTTTATCCTACAAAGTTTTTGCAAATTTCTATTTTCTTATGAGGTGAATAGGCCCATTTTAGTTCATGATCACCCCAAAAGTTTTCTCTCATCAGAAATTAAACACCTTGTCACCAGCTATTGCAAACTGATTCTTCAAGGAGCATTTTTCTCTTATCCAACTTTGAGTCTCTTATCATTAATGCAAAAATTATTCCAGCACAAATGGATTAACAGAGACGATCGATCTATAGGAGAATATTTTTTTACTAATTTTACCAAGTCAAGGCAAGGGGTAGGCGTATGCGCTGATGAGAATGTGCTATCTTACATTTTCATTGGAACTTAGAATTTTTTAACGTACAACATGCCATTTATTTCGATTGACCACAGTAGAAAATATTTGTATCTGTAGTTGCTTTGCTCTTCCTCAGAAGAGTTAATGGCCCGTTGATATGATTGATGGCTGTAATTGAGGCGTTAGGTGCAGGAAGGGCATTTCTTGATTGCAGTGTTTCCAAATTTCCGCTGCTAATTCATGTTTTCGAGAGGAACCTATCGGATGAATTTTCTGCAATTTTTAGTTAGCATTTTAGGATCATAAAGAACATCCATTAAAAGTTATAATGAATTTTATGCATTTGCCTTAATTATAGTGGGTGAAACGTTAACGGAGATCTGGAGACATTACAACCAAGGAATGCCCTTTCTGCATCCAGCACTTCAATATCATAATATTCCTTTTTTGGGGATTTGCATGAGGGAGCTTCCCTTGCCTTTCTTTTACTCAGTTGTTTTGCCATTTTTAGCGAACTTTTTTTTTTTTTTTTTTTNTTTTTTTTTTTTTTTTTTTTTTGGGGGGGGGGGCCCTTTATAATTCCTTGAATTGATATCCAATGAATTTTTTTCTCAATGCCTATGTTCAATTTTCTCTGTGCTGCCCTACGTTTTTTTACTTATCCCAGTTCCTTTTGCCCTTTGATAAGTGCCTGTGTTGTTACTACCCTTCGAGGGACTTAGGAGAACTAGAAAAATTATTCCAAATTGGAATGAATACCTATGTTAAGTATGTTCCTTTGAGTTGTCGAGGAGAACTAGAAAATTTATTCCAAATTGGAATGTATACTTATGTCACGTATGTTTAGTCTTTATCACTTATCATGATGAATTTGGGTAATAAAAATTGTCAAAATGAATCCAAAATTTAAACTTCTCTTTTTTATCACACCCCTGCCCCCCCCCTCCTCCAATTTTGATCAAGTTTTCCCGCTCTCACCTGGTTAAACGCGTGCAAATCATCATCACAGCATTATTGCAACGCTATTTTTGAGACATGGCGTCATCACGTTTTTGCACACGTTTTACCGGATGGGTGAAACTACATAATAAACTTGTAAATTAATTCCTAGGACCCAGTTCCACCAACTCTTGCTACATTAAATATCCTGAAAAAAAAAAAAAAAAAAAAAAAAACCTTCAAACACTGTTTCTGGAAATTGCAGAAACTGGAGGTGTAAGAACTCGGCCGTAATTGGCCAGCTGCCTTGTCGGTAGAGGTGTGCAATCGTGATTTTTTTATTTTGACTACAATGGAAGAAATTAACTGCGATTATGATTACAACTAAATTTTGGGAAAAAAGTAAAAAATGATTAAATTTTGTCCTCCTCATTTTTTGTGGCTTCTGCGACAAAGACGAAGCCAAAATAAAGGAACTCTAGAGGAAATTCGGAGACATTTGAAACTGATAATTTCTTCAATTTTAAGGTTGACTCAAAGTCTTTTTTTTCGGAGAAAGATTCTTTTTGCGGCGTGAAACCGCTTTATCGCGAAACTTTCAATAAAAAAAATCGTGATGGATTGAACTAAAATTTCGATTTTATCGAACGCGATTTTATTGAGACAAAATTGCGACAAGTTCGAGGATAACCGTTCATGTTGATGATCCTAGCAACTTTATCGTTAAAAAGTCGTAAGTTGCTTTGTAAGTATTGCGATTTTTCCGTTGAATATCGCTAGTTGAGACAGTAGGGAACTGTTCTATGACTTGTTGGGAGATCATCTTCGCCTCACCGGATGTATCATGCTCACAAAACCGAGCGGCGTGCAGAGAAAAGTGAATGCGAGCAGGGTTCTTGCGGTCCTAGAGGAAGGGGTAACAGACGCCCAGCCAGCCCAGCTCAGACGTCTCTCTGTCTGAAATCGGGCGGCACGCGATCATAATCAGTTCTCAAAGGAAAAGATAAGCTAAGGCGACACTATCCCGACGTCCCGACGCCAACACGAAACAGGATACAGTCAGCACCTGTAGAGGTAGACACCCTTCCGCGCGCCAATCACAATCAGTGTTGATCGACAGAAGCCAATTCCACGCCCCCCACTCCACGCCGATCATGTCGTGCAGATCGGTCACTTTCGTTTTCCGTTTTCGGCACTTTTCGGTTAGCAGGCGCTCGAGTTGGTCGTACCTAATGTCTCGCGTCCGGTCGTAGTGAATTCCACATGGTTGCAAGTAATTTTCCTTTTATGAAAGGCTTCTAAGACTTGTGAACTATTACAATCGTTTCTCGTTCTTTACCTAGTTGGTTTCGCGAAAACTTTTCGGTGTATGTGGAAACAATCGTGTGCAGTAATTCGTCGCTTGAATCGAGTCCCTCATTTTCTCGAAAGTTACTAACTTTTGCGCGGTATTCGGGTAAATTGACTGAAGGCAACTGATGCCCAAAATCACCATGGACTTGATTTCGGATTTGACAATTTGTTGCCTTCTCCCTCAAAAGAAAACCGCTAAGATCTAGGTTTTTCTTTTTTGCCATCCCCATTGTGTTCGGCTGAGTGACGAGAATTTGCCTGCTAGTGTTTCGTTCGAGTTGCATGGATAGCGTGGATTTTTGAACCTCCGAGGTTCTGCGTGTCCTTGCTCCAAGTTCAGACTTTTCTATTCGTCTCGCATTTTCATTTCATCGGTTTCAGTTCTCTCGTAGTTCGTCTGATGTGTCAACTTTTCGCGGCGGTTTCGAGGAATTCAACGATTCCTTTTGATGGTCGCGGACAGTTTCGGTTCTCGTGTTTTCGGATCCGATTATACTTGTGTTTTCGCGTCGTGTGAAATCGTAATTCAGTGATCGTGCGTTTTGTGTGTC